TACATCATAGAATTATACATTTATACCCGTACGTCAGTGTATAGCTCTAAACCAGATGAATTTTATTTTATATAATTTAAAACCATTAAAAAAATAACATTTTTCTAAAAAAATATATTTTTATTATTTTTATAAATATTTTACTTTTAAAACAACGATATGTATTTTCATGTCTTATTCAAAAACAAAATATTTTTAAAGTACTTATCGATGTATAAAAATTAAATTATTGCCAAGTACTCAGGGAGTTATATTTATTTTAAGTTTATATGAACAGTGTATAGTAATACAGGTATATTTTGCGTAATGTTGGTTCACTATTCAGCTCATCAAAACATTAAATATTTATCAATTATAATTTATAACTAATAAGCTACTTGATTAAAATTTAATTTTTTTAGATCAAAATAGATACTCTGAATATTCTGCTTCTATAAAATTTAAAATGTATGTTGTCATTAAAAAAAGTTCACACTTTAAAATATAATAAAAATTGTAACTTCATACGATGTTGTATTGTAATGAATCAAAATCATGTAAAACAAATATTTTTAAAAACTTTAGTATAAATAATAAAATTACACTATCTTACGTTAAATGGATCACCCCGTATAAATCATTCGATATTATCACGTCACGGAGCTAATTTTTTATTGTTGACGTCAACGTTACTATTGTTTTTTATGTTTTCAGCTATGATCAAACCACAAACTGTCACTGCAGTTCGATGCATATAGGTGTTTTGCAATCAAATTTACTTTCAGTCACAGTTTCGTCTAAAAAGTAGTATTTACAGGCCTAAACACCGACAATTGGATTTAAACAACCGTAGGTATCGAGGTTAAATTAAATCCTGTTATAGCTCCTTATTATAGGGATTAGTAATTGTATATATCGTATCAGTACCCGACATCTATGCAAGTAGGTATATAATAATATTATATTATTATATGTTAAGGTCAAATAATATGTACGAGAAATGAATAAATACGTATACTGAGAGGGTTATTCACTAAATAATTCGCAATCAATATTTATATATATTAATTATTGATATAAATCCGGTAAAATAATGATTTATACGTGCGAGAGTAACACGATGTGAAATAATAATATATTATCAATATTATAGTTCGCAAATTAAATTATACAATTTATTAAACAAACTCCTCATCGGGATTCTATAAATTCGCCACCAGTAAAAGTTTGCACAGCTTATGAAAGACAAAAGCATAACGATAATCTAAAAGTTTCAAGCAAAATTATCGAGTCAAAATTAAATGCCGACTAAACATTATATAGTTAGTGGTTAACTGACTAACAATATGAATATCTGATTATAAATTATTATTTATGCTTTGCTTTCTGCGGTTTACCAAACCATCCATAAATTTACAAAATTAACATTTAATTAGCACGAGTCTTAAATGAGCATTGATAATAATGTTTTCATATAAAAATATGCACAATCAGTTCATGTAAATAATATACATACATATAATTATCTTCATAAACAATAAAATTTATCTTTTAATTTATTATATATATTACAAGCAGGTAGTCTATTATGCTATTATTTATTTCTATTTTTTAATTTTGGATAATTTTCGAACTATAATATTTCAGCTGAAAAAATAAAATGAGTTTATTAAAAAAGGATTTTTTAAATACAATAATATGATAATTATTACTTATATCATTTGCGTGCAATATATTTCTTTATAGAATATATACAGGTAAAAGTATACAATTATAAATACACACTACTATTAGTATTTAGCAAGTACTAAGTTTTATATTACGGGCAGATAACAACATCACAACCACAAAACCAACATCCGTAAATGAGGCAGTTACTTTGACAGCTTGCATGACTATATGAAATTATTTTTTCCATTAACCACTACAATTTATTTTAATGGAATATGAAATACAAATAAAATAAAGTCTGGACACAATGTTATCAAAAACAACTATTCATGTTTATAGTATGCAAATAACAAATATTTAGGGTTTAATGACTTTAATTTAAAAATTAAATGGAAGAGAACTAAAACTAGCCTTTTTTTTTAAGTTATCAAACTTAAAAGTATAAAAGCATTTATTTTTTTTAAATTTTAATAAGTATAAAAGTCTGACCTAAGAGCTTTTCACGCAAAGTGTCTATTATCGTATAAACTTTGAACGCCTCTCAACAGTAGATATAATATAGTAAGTATATAAATATGTATTAAAGAGAGAGAACAATCTGTTACAACAATTCCGTGCAAAAATGTTATCATTACAGAGGCCTCAAATTTAATTTAAATATTTTGCACAGTTCACATATAACGTATTAAAATTTATATAAAATAAATGGCTAATGAGTAACCGGAAATCCAGATGTATAATAAACATGCGGTCGACGTACATTAATGCGTACACAAAAAACTAATCTATCATCGTAATATTAAAAATATATTGAATTCTAGAATTCTTTACATAATAAAATGATACAATTAACAGTCATAATGATATAAATAACCATAATATTTTACAATAGTGAATTTATTTAGTCGGCAATAGTTTTTTTGGTAATGCAACATTTTCAGCTATTCTACATAACATACTATGTCATATGTGTAATGGTTATTAGTGTAATTATAAGAAAATAGTTACATAAGTTATTTAATTATTTTATTTTCACCTTTTAAATTTTTGAAAAAATCATAAATTAATAATTATAATCGTATTCAAATAAGCGCCTAATAATATGTAATATATAATATGGATAAAAAATTTTAAAAATGTAGAACTTATAAAAATATCTAACATCTGTGTAGTGTATATATGTATAAAAAATGTAAAATATGCAGAACTTATAAAATCATGAAATGTATAAAAATGAAATAAATATAATATTTTGTAATTACAACTTAATTACCTATATATCAGTTATAGCGAAATAGCGTAAGCCAACATACTCTAAATATTTTAATGAATTATTAAAACTTTTATTTCCCACATACCACATATATGTATTTACTATGAATATTAATTATTTTATTCTTTTGTTTTTTTGGCATTTCTTTTTTTTTTACTCTGTATCGTAACTATTTTCAATATTGTTTCTGCTTGAGTTTCAATTAGAACTTTAATAATTATATATATTGCTAGATAAGAGCTGTAAAATTGACTATTATATCATTCTCTAGTATCTGATATCTAAGTTACTATTGATAACCGGCTAATCCGATAAAAGTCCAATAAATATCAACAGATTATTGTGCTCATATTATCGATTGATTACATTTGACAATGTTAGAAAAAATAAAAAAATTCGAACATTCTCAATTGTGTTACCCCAAAAATAACATTCTCAATCGTAATTTATCGATTCTATCAGAAGATTGCTGAGCCCACATTTTCGGAAGAAGATTACTATCATTTGATACATAATTTTCTATTAAATAATCACAAAATTCTGTTATAGCTAAAATTTTAGGTTTGTCTGCCATAAAATAGTCTATAAAACATTCTTCCACTTCCTTTGGACTAAGAAAGAAAATCCAAAACTATGTACTAACCATTTTCCTACATAGTCATTTTCTGAATAAAATTATCATGCATAACCTATATTTAGAATTTTACGAAACCAAACTTGGCCCAAATGAAAACAATAACTAAACACCTCTGTTTCCGGAAAAATTTCAAAAACTGCTTGATGTATTGCTATTTCAAAATTTAAAAGATGTTTTAGGTATTATTCCAGCTATTTTAATTTTGTTCAGTAATTTAATGTATTTATTTTTTTCTTTATTTGGTAATAAACAAAACATTGATGGAATTTATACTCCATTTAGAATGCCATAAATTGTGTATAATTGCATGTAATATTTATCACATTAGTTAAAAGTACTATCCATGTACAAAATATCTAAATCTTTTAAAAAATCAATGTTTGTTTTCATGAAAAAATAACTATTTCATTTAGCGCATCGTTATCATAAAGAAATAACTCACCTCTATTTGTCTTTATGTCTAATAAATTAAATTTTTCATGAACTTCTTTCCTTGATGTTGACAGTTTGAGATAACAATGCATCCTTGTATTGTAATTATTTCTTGTTTTGAGTTTTAAATCGAGTGATATCAAATCTCCTTCATTAGAATATTTAGATACTTCTTTTCATAATATTTAATATTTTTGACAGTTTTTCAACTATAGTCTACAACTTTTCTTTTGCGAGAGTTACTGATTTTTTGCCGTTTTAAAGTGTCATAATTTGCATGACTATGGTCAAAAAATGATTTATCTGTATTTATTAATTGGGCATTTTGACCCACAATATAAACTTTTGCACTACACTTATTTACAACACAACGCCACATATTTTAATTTATTTTTTTAGATTTATGGTGCTTAAAAAATTTTAAATCATTTAAAACTAGTAGTTGTTTGCCTTTTCACTGAACATAAATAATACATTTTCGCTCATTGTGACTTTGTATATTATGCCGAATATAAACGGATATGTGTGAACACACGAATTACTCGAACAATACAAACCTAACTGTTAAAAGAAATTACTCGACGTACAATATTTTGTGTATAATTATAAGATTTTCAAACCAAAATCAAGTTTTTTGTATTATTTTTATCAGCATTAAAAAGAATCGTAAAAATTTTGTGTGTCAAAAAATCGAATTTAAATGTCAGTTTTATCGGTAAGCTATCGTTATACTCTATTAAATGCCAGGTTTTTCCATCGTATATATTTTTATTATTTTGTATTATCATTGCCTATCTATTTATGAAATTTATATTTAATATATATTTGAACTTTTTTTTACTAATTAGTAATTTCCACCATGTAGGAACTTACATATGTACTTGTTTCTGTCGTGTAAGAACAAACACACAAACACACGTACCTTTTTTTCGGGTCTAGGACATTTCGGCTCGGCCATTTCGGCTTGGCCGTTTCGGCACGGCTGTTTCGGCGCTAAGATATATCGGCACTGAAAATTTCGGCGCGAGGAAATTTCGGCGCGGCATTTTTTAAATTAACTATTACTATTATGAAAAATTATCTTAATAAAATCGTCAATAGTGCAATCCTACCAAATATAGCTGTTATCGTGTAACGTAAGAACCAACTATATGTCTATATAGGTAAGATAAAAGTATAGGTTATTAACCCACAGCAGTTAAGATATAAAGTGACGATTATGTATACGCGTAGTGTATGAACTGTAAAGCAATCAGTTCTGGACCTGTCATCATTGCTGCACAAAAATTTATACTTGTTAAAATGTCTAATTTATTATCGAACCGCGGACGTGAAATTTTTGTACAAGACGGTTTCATGTATATTTTCGACAAATTTAATTTTAACCGTACAAAGCGATTTTGGAGGTGTCGCAATAAAGATATGTGTAATTGTCGAATTCATACAGGAATCGATGATTATATTATACAAAAAAAAATTAACGACCACACTCATGATTCTGAAGCGGCTAAAATAGAAGTAGAGGCTGCAATTACAAAAATTAAGACACGTGCACTTCAAACAATGGAGCCTACATCAGTTGTAATAAACGAATGTGTTGGACCTTTATCCGAAGCAGCTAAAGTAAGTACAAATTTCAGACAGCTTTTTGTTTTTACTAGGCCCGTTAATTTAATTTTAGGAACGATAATGTAGTTTAGCATATAAAAGCTAATTAAAAAAAAAATATTATATTATACATATATATATTTTTAATAAATTATTTAAAAAGATATTCTTTGTTGTTTGAATTCAGGCCACTTTGCCAAATAATTCAACTTTAAAAAAAACGATTCGGCGAAAACGTCAAGAAATCCAAATGGCACCACATAATCCAGTCGACCTAACTACACTAGACATCCCACCCGCGTATACTATGTATTCTCCATCAAACGGTAATGAGGAAATATTTTTACAAAGTGATAGTGGTCCAGGTTCTAATAGAATATTAATTTTTTCTCGATCTAAGAGCCTTGATATTTTGGAAAATTCGAGCGTTTGGTACATGGATGGTACATTTAAAGTTGCACCTCCATTATTTAGTCAAGTATATGTAATATTAGCTGAATATTTACATGGTATACTGCCTATGGTTTATATTTTACTCCCCGATAAACAATCAGTAACATATGATCATATGTTTTTAATGTTGAAAAATTTAAGACCGGCTATAAATCCTAAATCAATTTCATGCGATTTTGAACAAGCGGCCATAAAATCAATAAAAAAAGCATTTCCCAATGTTAAAATATATGGTTGTTTATTTCATTTGTCGAAAAATTTTAAAAAGCAAGTTGGTGCATTAAATCTCACAACTCGATATAACAATGACGCTGATTTTTCTATATCAGTTAAAATGATAATTTCATTAGCATTTGTAAAAATAGAAGATCTTGATTTTGCAGTTGATTTATTAGCTCAACATCTTGATGAGGAATTAAATAATTTATTAGAATGGTTTGAAGATAATTATATAGGTCGAATTAACCGTAATGGTCGGGGAAGAAGAAATGCGCGTTTCCCTCCAGAAATTTGGAATTTATATGATAGAGTCTTAAATTCAGAAAATAGGACAAATAATCATGCCGAGGCAGCAAATAGGAGGTTGAATATTGAAATGGGAGTGTGTGGCCCAACAATTTGGACATTTATAAATTGCCTAAGAAGGGTTCAAACAGGCCACGATGTTTTTATGACGCAACTAACTGCTGGAGGGAGTCCCCCTAAAAAATTAAAAAAATATACCGACCTAAATCATCGATTACATAAAATAGTTAGTGAATATAATATAAGAAATTGTATGGATTATTTAAAGGGAATCGCTCATAATATTTCTTTAAAATAAATTTAAATTGTATATTATTAACATTTTTAAAGTATTATTAATTCTTTTTTTTTTTTGACTATTTAAAGGGAATTGCTATCATAATTTATATTTTAACCATGTAATCATGTATTACTAAACATATAAAACTTTATTATTATATTATTTATTTTGTATTTTTAAAATGTATTATAATATTGGAATAATGATGAATTATTAATATGCTATTTATTTATTTTAATATTTCTTTAAAATAAATTTCAATTGTATATATTATTAACATTTTTAAAGTATTATGAATTCCTTTTTTTTTTTTCGACTGTTTAAAGGGAATCGCTATCATAATTTATATTTTAACCATGTAATCATGTATTATTAAACATATAAAACTTTATTATTATATTATTTATTTTGTATTTTTAAAATGTATTATAATATTGGAATAATGATGAATTATTAATATACTATTTATTTATTTTGTATTTTTAAAATGTATTGTAATATTCAAATAATGATATATTATTATTTGTTTTGTATTTTTAGATTTTATGTGGGTTAATAATCTACACCTTTATCTTACCTATATAATCGGTTTTTACGTTATACGATAACAGCTATATTTGGTAGGATTATACTATTGACAATTTTATTAAGATTATTTTTCATAATAGTGATAGTAATAGTTAATTTAAAAAAAAAACGACGCGCCGAAATTTCCTCGCGCCGAAATTTCCAGCGCCGATATATCTTCGCGCCGAAACAGCCGTGCCGAAACTGCCGTGCCGAAACAGCCGTGCCGAAATGTCCGATTCCCCTTTTTTTCACCGTATAGGAACTTACACATCTTATTTTTATATTTGTGTAAGAATTAACACATCACATTTGTAAGAACTTACGTATGTAATTGTTTACCTGCTACTCTCGTGTAGAAACTTACTATTCCCCATTTTAAATAAATTTTGTATACATATAAGCTACGGCTAAAGTATAATTTGTATAGAATCAATTTATTTATTAAAATAAATTTTTTCCTTCCAATTTTTCAGACTTAGGGCTGGCAATATAATTGTTTTAGTATTGGTATAGTTAAAAATATTAGTTTTTCTGTTTTTTTTATTTATAATTAAAAAATGTATTATCAAAAATTAGTAACAAAGTATTAGATAAAAATGTATATTATTAAAAAAAAATTGTAATTAAGAAACTGGTAAAAATTTGTAAGATAGTTTCCACACATAGTCTAACCGAGTATTTTTTTTTTTATGCTTGCAATTCATACATTTTTTTATGTATAAATGTTTCTTTTACAGTCATTTTTTTTCTTTTTGTTCCCTAACTACTCAAACTGATATCTACATCATACATTATTAGTAATTACTAATCTTTAAATTGTACAGCCGACCGGAAATCGGAATATTCCGGGCCGCACTTTACGTATGTCATAAATATACTCGGCCCGTAATTTCATTTACGTATGTTTTAAAAGTACATGGGCCGCAATTTACATAGTATATGACAATAACCTTTTTTTAGAGAACGCAATTTACAGACTCCGAATTAGTTCAATCCGTTTTCTCTCGAAAACCCAATGATTTACAGTACAGTAAGCCACACTAGCGAGTAGCTCACGTCAGGTATAAAGAAAAAGATAATACAGACACTATACACACATGACAAAATAAATAGGTTAAGTCAGGGGTCTCCAAACTTTTTTTATCCGAGGGCCACATAAAATAAAAAAAGCTCTTAGCACGCCAGAATGTATGAATACATATAATTTATAAACTACAGATCGTAATCTATGGTACAGCCGAAACAGCTGATAATTACACGTATGCACAATAACGATTTTGGAAACTAAGTATATTTTTAGATTATTTGCCGTCATTTGGTGGGCCGGTGAAAACTTGTTCGAGGGTCGGATGCGGCCCGTGGGCCGTAGTTTGAAGACTCCTGGGTTAAGTTATGCTAATGAATTTTGAAGACTTATTGTTTGATACACATATTCCGCTCAAGTAGTTCAACACTTCGCCTTTATAGTAGATTTTAATTTCTAATTGGTTTTCATTACAAACAATATTTATCATTAGTCACTGTGTATTAAACTATAGCACAGAGAAAATTATCGACCAAACAAAATAGAGAACTTTGATATAGGTTGAGTGTGGGAGCGATGTAATTAAACTTTTGTAGGCCTTATGAACATCTCTATATCAATTTTTTCATGGTACAGTACTAAATTCTAGGACGAATGGTCTTGAAAACCAGTGGTGGCGGGAGGTTTATAAGGTAATCACCTCTCTATTGGACTATGTTTTTATGTCTTGAATTATTATATTTTATAATTGTTTATATAGCTGCAATACTATCAAAATCTTAACATAATTTCTGCAATAAAATTTCACATATTAAAATTTCGTCATAAATATTGAAATATAATATTGGTAACAAAAAAACTACAATTATAAATATTATATATGTATATAATATAGACCTTTCCATAATTATAAATTCAAATAGTAATTATAAAAGAAATAAAAAAATAACACAAAAAACAATTAATCTAAATAAAACAAGTTAATGGTTTGATAAGAAAAAAATATTTTATTTTTTTAAATCTCTTCTCCTCTTGAATAACCCCTAAATCTGCTACTACATACTATCTACTTGATCATTCTCGTAAAACGTGGGCCAATTAATATGACCTAATCCAGGACCACCAAACTTAACTTTTTTCGGCCGTAATCTACTAAAAATACACTTCACCTTTGAAGATCGACTTCAATAAAATAAGTTTTTATTATTATTAAGTTACTATACCAACATTATTAATTTTCGTATGCGTAGCCTAAAAATAAATTGTAGTACAATCGACTTTGAAATCGTTTGCGATCAACTGTTTGGCCGCCCCTGACCTAGTCCACTCATGTGTATAACACTTGTAAATCTCCAGCGAAAGGATAACCACGTTGTATATATATTTTTAACTAAAAACGATTGTGACAATAAGTCAAGTACAGATTGATAGAGAAAATAAACAGGTCTTAACTTGTCTGTAGTAGACCGAATATGGGGGAAAAGGTTAGGTTAGGTCTAAAATGGAATTATGTTGTTAGTATACATTATTAGCTGTATAAAACATTGATCCAAGATCACGCACTGTCTGGTGCACTATCTGTTGCAACGTGTATCGTATCAAATGATATAATAGATTGTTGTTACATATAAGTATTTTTTTTTTTTTTTACAATCAATATTTTGTAGTACTGACGTACATGCAGGCCTATGAAAATTTAAAGAAACAACATAAATAATGCAATTACTATATGAAGCACAAAATCGATGAAATTGTTTTTAAATTTTCGTGTCTAAGTATATATTATAATATTGTTAAAATAAATAAATACATTTTTGAACATACCAAATTTCCAAGATTATTAAATTTTAATTAGGCACTATACCAAATTATCAACATTTATTTAATTAAATGTGTACGAAAATTCTATTATTTTGAAATTGGAAATTTTATTTATTATAGCTCTTACTACGGCCTACGGGTAACAATAAATTATTATTATATAGATATATATTTTCGAGGTTAGATAGGTTAGACTTTTTGGCTTTTATTCTTCTCCATTCCCACAGGGATGATATAAAGTGTATACCTACGTGTCAGTGATAGTCATGTCGTATAAATATATAATAAATCATTTTATATATAAAAAACAGCTGCACAAGAGACTATATCACATAATCGATCCTTGGACTAGTTCATTGTATGAATAATTTAGTTATACCTTAAGTTAGATAAACTAGAAAATATATTACACTAGTGGCCATCGATTCACGTCGTGGAAGCACGCAAAAAAAAAATTACCTCAACGATGTCACTCATAAGAAGTATCAAATAACAATGTTTATACATAATTTGTTTTAAAAGTATTCTAGTTAAAGTACATATAAAAAAGTAAATAATCACTCATATATATGTAGAATGTAGATATAGTATAAATAATGTATACATTACAGGAATTTATTTTGTTGTGACCTCCAAGAAACCCTAGAAATAATGTGTATATATTGACGACCGACATTTAATATTAAACGCACACAATGACGGGCCGAAAAGATCAAATTCAATGTAACTGCATCAACTTTTTAAAGAAATGGTGAGTGGTAATAGTGTCACCGAAGTTCATACTAAGGTAACAACTAAAAAGTAAAGTATTGTAATAATTTTCATCATAATGCATTTGGAAACTGAAAAAAGGAGAATAGCTTCACGGTTTTGTAATATTGTTATGAAGGAATGATGATGGTAGAGGTAAAAAATTCTTAAATATAAAATTGCGTCATTTAAAATGTAACTTTAACATGTCACTGAATTCATCTAACAGTTAGTAGTTAAAACAAATTTAAGAAAAAGATAATATGATATTTAGTTCTCATAAATCACTTCACTCACCTTGGCACAATATAATGGTGTGTTTACTTTGTTGTAGTATTAAATTTGAAAATAACGATAAATAAACATTAAAGTTCGTTGTTGGAATTTTTCGAAAATGTTTAACATAATAGTTTAGAAAAAATGTGCAGTACATATATACTCTACAGTCTACAGCAAGGAAAATTGAAAAATGTCCTTTTAAAAGTACTATCAAAAATTCAAAACTCGATTTATGATCTATAAAGGTGCTACATAAAACTTTTTGAGTTCTTACCTACTCCGTCTACCCGAAAAAAATATCTGCGGAAAAGACGTTGTAAAACCAATTTTTACGATGTATTATATTTTATTTATAAATGGAATAAAAATAAAAACACCATCGGTCAGTTTATACATAAAAAAAAATACATATTTTAATACGATAGATACGCACAAGAAAAAAGGATAATGGATATAATAATAATTGGATATTCTCAATCCAATCTATATCTATCAAAAAAGATCATAGACTTTGACGTAATTCTATAAGCTCACTAAATACAAAATCGATAAAATATATATTACTTATTTTGAT